AGGCTTCTTTTATTTAGAAATATATTAAGATGATAAATGCTTAAAATTCATAACATATTAGTGTGCTGTGCGGGAGTCGTCTGGAACCGTCCAGAACCGTCCAGAACTGTCCAGAGCACAGCCCCATGCACACTCCCTGTATCGGCTCAGCTCTGCTCTAGAGTTTATTTTGATCTGGATCTGTACAAAAGCTGCTCATTCACATGAGGCCGTTTACAGCGATGTCCTAAAGTGTGATTTCTTACTCTGTCCGTGTCATAATGCTGCGATGTCGATTTATTCACATTGTCGCGACCGGACTTGCGCGTACATTCACTGACAGCTCGGGGCTGTGACAGTGGAGTAGACGCACGTATCATATCTGTGCATAAAGCGATAACATCAGAAACATTTATATGGTAATAAACATATTCCATAATCCACGAGACTTCCACCTGTGTGAGATCAAATGGTTGATGTGTGCGTGTGTGCACGGGTTTCCAGCGGTGCGTGTGCATGAGAGGGTCGCACATGTGTGCGGAGTGTTCGGAACACAAACCCAGTCAGTTCTGTCATGGCTCACACTAAATTCTATATTCCTGGCGCCTCTGCTGGTGTGTATTTGCATTGTGAGGCTCCGGAGCTGTTATATTGTACACTTATTTAACTTTTCCCCTCACTCCTCTTTGCTGCCTGATAATGAGGTACAGTTTACAGACTTTACCCACACGGGCAGTGCTTTTAAATGCCACAGACTGGTTCAGATACTGTCACCATATATGTACTTGTACCGTCGCACTCCAGCCTCCAGCAGAGAAGTACAACCCCACCTGGACACGCCCACTTGCACTTAGCGCTAAGACTGGGGGCAAGATACGGCCCATAAAGTCTAATCACTGTGTGCATACAACAGCATCAAACCCACGTCTCTAATCCAAAGAAATTGTAGTAAAATTGAGGAGGTCAAGGTCAGAGTTTGCCTTTATTAGATCTTTACAACTGTAAACGGAAAAAGTGAGCTTATTTCGACAGGGTGGCGACAATTGTTAGACCGATTGATTTAGGCTGTGGGCAGCTCAATTCGATGGAGCAGCGCATTTCGACAGAACACCGGATCTCAGGGGCAGCAGTCTGAGCAGGAACTCCCAGACTTCCTTCACCCCGGACACTTCCTCCAGCTCCTCATTAAAAATGATGCCTAAATTATGTCATTTAAATACAGCCCCCAGATTTAAGAGAGCTGCTCTCTTCACATTAACGTCTCAAAAGTTTTATGCAGATTCTTTGAGCAGCAGCTCGACCAAAACACAATAATACAATAATATCCTCACTGGGAGATTAAACACAGATACACTAAAAAGAGCAAATATTTCATAAATCGGCCTCTGAAGGTTCCACAGTTTGGCATTAAACATCTGTCACCATGGAGACAAGCAGGTCACACTACCAGACCTAGTTACAGGTCAGATCTGTACAGAGGCGACTCTGCTCACATACCAAGTTGGTGAATTTTTGTTCAGTGACAATGTAGAGACCCTTTACTTACTTTCCTGTGTACAAATGTTATTGCTTTTTTCAGAATGTTCCACAGTATGACATTAAACTGATCTAACTTGAATTCTTATAAGAATGCATGTTTTTCCAAGCCATGTTAGGACCCCAAAAAACACTCCTAATTAAATAAATTCAACATCTGTCACTGGATAAATACAAGTTAGATACGTTTACTGCACACTGTGGAACGTTCTGGGAAAAAGCAATAACATTTGTACACAGGAAATGTTTATTTAAGGAGAGACAATCAGATGAATCAGAGAACATTTACACAGAAAGTCACAAAACTTGGAATGTGTATCTTTTAATCTTTTACATTATTTTAATATAAATGAACAAAACAAGTACAACAGTGAGGAGGTGTAATTATGGCTGTTGAGATAACCAGTCGTCTTCCACAAATGAACATGAGACATTGTAAAGTCTATACAAAGTATATAAACCTGACGTGTGTGTGGAAGGGGGTGGAGAGGGGTGGGGGTTGTTTCCGTGGCGATGATGGGGTTGATTACGAGCACTAATTGGCCTCTCCTTGTCTCCGCTGCCTCCTCACCTCTCATTAAAACAGGATCATGATGAACCTGACCAGAGGAGAAGGGGGAGAGACTGGTACTGGGCGGGAGGGGGGGGGGATAATCCCGGAGGAGAGAGGGGGTCCCTGGGGTGAGCCTGTCCTAAGAGGTGTGGTCCTGGTCACATCCTGGACACTGGTGAACAAAAAGGGGATAATGAGCAGTTCAGAATGTTGTCATTTGTCAGGACGGGTCATCTTTAAGAGACTTTTTTGGCTCGGAACAGCAGACAATAATTGGCATGATCTGAAATGTCAAAGGAATATAAAGGTTTTTGTTGTAGATCTTTTTTTTGGATAATGTGGGATAGATGTTCCATGTGATGCTTTCTGTTACGGAAAGCAACACAACAACTGTTTCTGTTATTTTTTTTTAAACATAAATTTAAAAAAAGAAAAAAGCAATATACAATGTATAAACTCACACACTGCACAGTCTCCCCCCATATGATATACAGTATATTTATATGCATTATGCATGTAAATGTATATATGTACTGTATGTGTGTATGTATGTATACACCGTATGTATATATGTATGTATGTAATGTATATGTATGTAGGCACTGTATATATGTATGTATGTATGTATGCGTGTATGTATGTGTGTGTGTGTGTATGTATATATATGTGTGTGTGTGTGTGTGTGTATGTATGTACTGTATGTATGTACTGTATGTATGTATGTATGTAATGTATGTATGTAATGTATGTATGTATGTGTATGTATGCGTGTATGTATGTGTGTGTGTGTATGTATGTATATATATGTGTGTGTGTGTGTGTATGTATGTACTGTATGTATGTACTGTATGTATGTATGCATGTATGTAATGTATGTATGTACTGTATGTGTGTGTATGTATGTATGTATGTATGTATGTATGTATGTATGTATGTATATATGTACTGTATGTATGTACTGTATGTATGTGTGTATGTATGTATGTGTGTGTATGTATGTATGTGTGTGTGTATGTATGTATGCATGTATGTATGTATATATGTATGCTTGTATGTATGTATGTATGTATGTATGTATGTATGTATGTATGTATGCATGCATGTATGTATGTATGTATGTGTATGTGTATGTATGTATGTGTGTGTGTATGTATGTATGTATGTATGTATGTATGTATATGTATGTATGTATGTATGTATGTATGTATGTATGTATGTATGTATGTATGTATGTATGTATGTATGTATGTATGTATGTATGTATGTATGTATGTATGTATGTATGTATATATGTATGCTTGTATGCATGCATGTATGTATGTATGTGTGTGTAAATGTACATATCTATGTCTTCCATGATTTGTAAGGGTGTTTTCTGATAAGTTTATCCAAAATATACAAAAATAAAATCCATACTCCAGTTTTTCTAGTAATTATCAGCAAATGTCTTAATATAAAATTGTGACAGCAGCTTCATGAACACAACCCACTTCACTTTCATGTTTCAAGGCACCATTTTAAGGACTGTTGGCCTCTTGTTCCATCAGCAGCTATTCTCCCAGAGCTGCGTAAGGGTGCATTTCAATCAAAGTTTATCCAAAATATACAAAATAACACTCATGCACCAATTTCCCAGTAACTATTAGCAAATGTCTTAATATGAACTTTTTGTCAGCTTTTCAACAGTTCCTTATTAGCTGATATAATGGCCGCCAATACAGAAATAATTAACAGGTTTCAGAAATAATGATCAGTGTTTGAGTGGAGGATTAATTGTATTTTTGATTCTGTTTAATTAGCGAAAACACCACCCACCTCCTCACAAACTCACAAACTGCTCTGTATCAGACTCAATCAGACTGCAACATATTGAGAAATGATTTGTGGATATAAAAATAAGGTGTTTTAAAACTGTTCTAATGAAATGACAGTTTTTAATTAGGTACAAAACCAAATCATTATTTTCACATTATAGTTGTATTATTGTGTTAATTATTCAATGTTTAATTGTTTATTCACGGATATTTGAGTTATCAGACATTTAGTCTCTCACGCTCTCCAGAGATCAGAACCCTCTGTTCCATCTTGTGACATCATTGGGTGGTGATAAAATAATAAAACAATTTACAATGGCAACTAAAAAAAGAAAAGAAAGGAAAACAGGAAATGAGCAGGTAATGTATCTGAGGAGACATTCCGGATGCACTGTGTAACTTTTTGGTTGAGGGTCTGACATCTGCTTGTTTCTATGGAGATGTCATTGTTCTGCCTGAAATGTTCCACAGTGTGACATTAAACATCTCTACTTTACATTTATTCAATTACAGGTGGTTTAATAGCTCAAAAATATCTAGAAAAACAGACATTCTGAGCGGGGTCGCCTCTCCACAGATCTGACCTGTAACTTGGTCTGGTTTGGTCTCCATGAAGATAGAAACTTTTAATGCCATACTGTGAAACATTCCAGAAAAAGCAGTAACGTCTCAATAAAGAAAAGTTTGTGATGAACCCTCCACCAGAAAAGTTACAAAGTTAACAGATCAGAAAACAATGTAATATGGGCCCTTTAAATCTGTGAAATGACCAGCTCATTTACTGTTTTCTTTTATTCTCTTTCTTTGTTTTAGTTTCCATTGTAAATAGTTTTTATTTGCCCTAATCTCTAATGTTATTTCTAACCACTCCTGCATTTGCACTTAATATCCTGACTGACTTAACAACATGAAACTTGGTCCCAGCTTCCCCATATTTACGACGGTGACTTTTATGATCTGGGCCTTTACAGAGAGAGGAAATGAAACTTCCTTATACGCAGACAGGCCGGGCTCCTCAGCTGCTCCGGGTTAGAAAATCCTATTAGCGCACGCCTAGCTAGCCTGATCCGCGTCGCTTGTATTCCCCGTAATAACCAGCCTGTGATTTATGCTTGCAGTTCATCGACGGCCGCTTGGCCAAATTGAACGCAGGCCGAGGTTTCACCGACGTGTTTGAAGAGGAGATCACCGAGGGGGGCTTCTGTGGCAGTGAGTACACGGCTCTACACGCTAACACTACAGGTTAACTCTACATGGATAACTCTACATGAATAACTCTACACCACTAACACGGCTAATTCTGCACACTGACGCTACATGGAAAACTATACACACTAACTCTACACAAATAACTCTACATGAGTAACTCTACAGCAGGGGTGTCCAAACTTTTTTCATCAAGGGCCACATATCTAAAGACAGACAAAGCAAAGGGCCAATCGAGGGCCGTAGACTGGTGCTCAGCACAGGGAATAATTAAAATATGTGCATGTTTAACATGTTAGAATGAATAATGATTGATGGCTCATTCTAAGATCCTTAAAACCACACACTAAATATTAAATATTAGCTTTCTCAAGGTAGATTTTCAAAAAACTTGCAGTAAAAAGTAATTTTTTTATTGATGTAAGGTAATTTGGGCCAATTCACCTGGAAGCCCGAGGGCCAAGAAAAATTTGTCTGAGGGCCGCATTTGGCCCCCGGGCCATAGTTTGGACATGCCTGCTCTACAGGCTTACTTTACAAGCTACTAGAACGGTAGATCTCACATTGACAACCACTGTCTATTGGAACAAATGTGTCAAAAAAGCCATTTTGGTGCAGGTCATGCTGCTTTTAAATGAATGAACGTGAAACGGGAACAAGGCGATGTACAGAATTAAAGCAGCTGACCTTAAGCAAAAGGAGAAATTGAATTTGTTAACTGGACAAAAGTTTATTTGGTTGAATATTTTTCGCAGCTCATCCAAGCTGCTTCTTCAGCTCTGGTCAGACGCTGGTGGACACTTCCTTATGTCTGTGTGCAGGGAGGAGCTAACTACACTGAAACTACTCTGAAACTAACACATCTACTTGAAACTAACACCCTCCTGTAAACAAGTGTGTGTGTTAGTTCCAGAGTAGTTTCAGTGTAGTTAGCTCCTCCCTGCAGGCAGATATAAGAAGTGTTCACCAGCATCTTGATCAGAACTTAAGAAGCAGCTTGGATGAGCTGCGAAAAGTCTTCTACCAAATAAACTTGACAGATTGACATTCTCCTTTTTTCATGGATTCTACCTGGACAACTGAGGGACTGTACACGTAGCCTGCCTTAAATGAGCAAGTTTATTTTCTTGGTTCATTACAAATATCAGACGTGTATTTACAACCGAGCTGCAAATAAAGTAATAGAGAAGAGGTTTATATCTATGAATCGTGCCCGCATCGCTCTGGGCAGCACAGGGGTCAATGCGGGGGCAGCGGTGGATTCACCCTGGCTGCGGGGAGAGGCCTGGGGTCCAGGCGCAGGAACGGACTGAGCCCCAAGCTAGATTTCAGGTCCGAGCCGAACAAGCTGAAGATTAGTCCTGGTTCAGTCCTGGTTTATTCCTGGTTTAGTCCTGGTTTAGACCTGGTTTATTCCTAGTTTAGTCCTGGTTCAGTCCTGGTTTAAGAGCTACTTCCGTTCATATGTGGCGCAAACGTCTGACATCTCCGCTCACTGATACTGTGAAAAAGCTTTGGTTAAATGACATTCAGTGACACTAAGAACGTGGAACCCCCATACCAAGATGGCGGCGGCATTAACGCTCGCCTAGAAGCTGAACGCAAGATCTGCTGTTCTACACGGTAACACTAAACCCCTAACTCTCCACCGGTAACACTGCTAACTATGCACACTAGCTCCACACTGCTAACTTTACTGAGCTTACTCTAGCAATACATGTAGCTCCAGCAAACAGAACGAATAAAAAACACCTTTAAAGAGTTAAACGTGAATGTTACTCGTGAATAGAGCCTATTGTTTGCTAAAGATTATTCCTTTATTTGACTAATAATACATCAATCAAACTAATGCAATTCTGGTCATGTTTTTCTTTTCTTTTTTTGTTTTTGTTTCTCAGCAAGAGGAAAGAAACATTATTACAGCTTTTTAAACAACTTTGTCAGGATTGTTCTTGTGATCAGATTTACTGGTAATAGGAGTGAGTGAGAGAGTGGAGCTTCAGAGAGTGGAGCAGATTAAAAGTGCATTGTGAGGACTGTGAGTGTTAACTGTTTCCAATGGGACCATCACCTCCAGCTCTGCTCCGTCACCGGATCCACAGCTCCATATGAACGCCATACCTCTATGACGTTCTATAGGCCAATATTATTTAATACAGACGAGGGGCAGCTAAAAATCAAATTGCTCAAATAAAGGAAAAATGTTGTTATATAGCAAGTTCTAAGGTCTAGTTATTGACAGAAAAGTTTAAGTGCCATATTTGTGAACTGAGTCACTCTTTTAAACTTCTTTTGTTTTTCTCTGCAGGTAATTCCAGACATTACCAGCAATGGATGCACACGGTCAAGGTACTCACACTTTTCTCTTAGCAGAATATGAATACATTTTAGAACTAGATTGAAACAAGATACTCATTTCAAGAAAGTATTGATATTTTGCAGCAATGTTACACTGGAGGGGTTGTGCATGTATTTCTTTGACAGAATGTTCAGCAGTTACTATGGAGACTCAACGCACACATGCAAACACGGTGAAAGAAAGTCTGAAAACTCAAGAAAATACACAAAATGGATAGTTTGTGACTGGACAGGGACTGTTAAAAGTACAAATCAGCTCACCTGTTTCAGTTTCAGCTAAATAAATATTAAGGTGAAACAAAGGTCACATTAAAGTCTAACTTGAGTAACAGAGCTTCAGACAGAGCAGTGCCTCTAGTTATGGTGCGTTCGTTATGGCCCGTCACAACACTGACTACCACAACACTGACCACCGCAATACCAACGACCACAACACTGACCGCCGCAATACCAACTACCACAACACTGACCTCCGCAACACCAACGACCACAACACTGACCGCCGCAATACCAACTACCACAACACTGACCGCCGCAATACCAACTACCACAACATCGACTACCACAACACTGACCGCCGCAACACTGACCACTGTAACACCGACCACGGTAACACCGACCGCCGCAACACCAACTACCACAACACTGACTACCACAACACCAACCACCACAACACTGACCACCGCAACACCAACTACCACAACACCAACCACCACAACACTGACCGCCGCAACACTGACCACTGTAACACCGACCACGGTAACACCGACCGCCGCAACACCAACTACTACAACACCAACCACCACAACACCAACCACCGCAACACTGACCACCGTAACACCGACCGCCTCAACACCAACTACCACAACACCGACTACCACAATACCAACTACCACAACATCGACTACCACAACACCAACCACCGCAACCAACTACCACAACACCGACTACCACATACCAACTACCACAACACCGACTACCACAACACCAACCACCACAACACCAACTACCACAACACTGACCGCCGCAACACTGACACTGTACACCACACACAGGTAACACCGACCGCCGCAACACCAACTACCACAACACTGACCACCGCAACACCAACTACCACAACACCAACCACCACAACACTGACCACTGTAACACCGACCACGGTAACACCGACCGCCGCAACACCAACTACTACAACACCAACCACCACAACACCAACCACCGCAACACTGACCACCGTAACACCGACCGCCTCAACACCAACTACCACAACACCAACCACCGCAACACTGACCGCACCGCAAACACTGACCACCGTAACACCGACCACCACAACACCGACCACCACAACACCAACCACCGCAACACCGACCGCCGCAAAACACAACCACCGCAACACGACCACCAACAACACCCAACCACCGCAACACCGACCGCCACAACACCCACCACCTCAACACCGACCGCCGCAACACTGACCGCCACAACACTGACCGCCACAACACTGACCACCACAACACCAACCGCCTCAACACCGACCAACCACCATCACAGTAAGGTATTGCAAATACAAATGACTGAATTTAAATAATCAAATGTCCAAACGCAACATAAAACAGTTCATGCTTAAAAGTGATACTGGGCACAGCCATCTTGGATTCTATCTCGGAATCCTTGTTCAGTTTCCTCTGAGTTGTTTTGAGTTCCAAGTTACGCCGTCTGAGGAAAAGAGGCATGTCAGTGAGTGTCACAAGGCAACATCCTCAGACCTCCAAGTCAGAAGGATTATCGAACGTACCATTAACTTCAAGAAGCCCAGAGAATATTGATGACATCATCTGTAAAAAATAAAATACAATGTGTCTTTATTTATTTGTTTTTGTTTTGTTTTTAATTAGTTTTAGATTTTAGCATCATTACAACACTATTAGACTCATTTTGGGTAAAAAAAATAAAATAAAATAAAAAATCTGCTTTAGATATCAGTTCTAAAAAGCAGACATCGTCCACTAAAGTGAATCTTTTGACCTACCACCAATTTTCTTATTCTTAAACAACCCTTTTCTCCCTCTTTGCTGTTCTATTTGAATTCTGCACTTTCTCCCCCCGCTGCCCTTAAACCAGCCTTCCATTTCTGTAAAATACACCTCTCCCACCCCGTTCCTTTCCTTTTTCATTTCCTGGCCCTTATTAAATTAGCGACGTGACGGACTATAGCTAGCCTGACTGGACGGGTGCGTTTGATGTGCGGCGCTGTGGAGCCGGCCCGGGTGGCGTCCGTGTTCGGGAGCGGGGTGCGTTTGGCGTGTGAAGCGGCGCGTGCAGGATGACATCTCCCCGCTATAAGACAAGTGATTTGACGTGACAGCAGCCTTCTTTTCGGCGGACGTGTTGATTTGACAGTCGTCCATTGAAATACATGTCTTCTCCTCTTCCTCCCCCTCCCTCACCCTTTCATCTATGTCACTACCCTCTCTTCCTCCCCCTCTCTTCCTCTTCCTCCTCCTCTTTTTTGCTCCTAGCTTGAATTAGTCCTCCAGAGTGGTCTTCAAAAGCTTGGTTTAAAGTTCATATTTTCTGACTGGCAGCGATCTATATGAAAAAAGGCGCTCACCTCTTTCGTTTTTTTTTTTTTTTTTTTTTTTTCCACCACTGCTGTATAGCCGTTTAGATAACATCGGAGACCAAAAAGAAAGGAGAGATGAGAAAGAAAACTGCACAAAAGAGGAGACAGAGAGAAGAGAGATGGGGAGATATGGTGTCAGAATGTTAGCGTTGACAAATCAATCAGGCTTGTGTCACTTTTAAGGTTTAAAAATGCTACAAAATGCTTTCAAAGAGAATATTATAGATCAGTAATACTTTTATATAGATACAGTTTGCTTTTCTTTTGTTATTTCAATCTTTTGACCTCTGCACATCACAAAATGGTTGACACAGTCACCTTTTTGTAGATTGTTCCATATTTATTAACAATCTTTTAAGGTCCTATATTAAGCAAAATGTACTCTCGTGAGTTTTAAGTCGTGTTCTAAAGTTGTTTCCTCATCATAAACAGACCTGCAGTTGTGTTTTGTTTCATTCAGACATGTTTCAGAAACACTTTATTCTTAGACTGGTTCCAGTGTCCAAAGCTCCTAATTCCATACTACTACTACATACATACATAAGTTATTACATCTCCTAGAAGACAAAACAGTGACTGGGTATTAGGGATGGGCATGATTAATCGATTAATCAATAATTGATCATTAAGAATTTCATTGTTTGTTCTTTGTTTCTGTGAGACTTGCGCAAAACTAAATTAAACACATTATAATGTCAAACGGTTTGATGTGGCTCTAGAGTCGTTACAGTTTATATGTCGTAAAGTTGAATTTATTTATTCAGATTAGTGCAGATAGTAATAATAATGATGATCATTTTAATATAAAAACGTTAATGATTAATCGATAATCGATCGTTAATTCTTCTGATCGATTAAGAAAATTTCATCGAATGCCCATCCCTAGTGCGTATACATGCACATCAGTATCCCAGTTATTAGCCATATCCCGGTTCTGTCAGTATTCGGGTTACTGTGTTACTGCACTGAGAACCCGGGACACTCATATCCCTGTGTACATGATCAAATGGAGTATCCCAGTTTCTTGACATAATCTTACAAATGCACAAGCACAAAAACTAACTTAATTTAAATTAATAAACCAGGAAAAATACAAATAACCATGAGCTCCTGTAGCACCTCCTTTAGCGCAGATCAAACCCAATGTGTAGATTTTTATTAAAATATTCTGCAGAAATAAACTTAGCTTTATAACATATGAACCATAACCACATCAGCCCGTGTGATAATATAAATCAGCTTTGCCACATTTGTTTAAGTTTTAGGCCTACTGAAATGAAACTTAAGACCACATGACTAATTAGCATAAACTGTTAGCGTCGTTAAAAAGAGCTCGCTCCTTGTGCCGCTGATGTGGTTCTGCTTCTGTCAGACTAAAAGACACAACTCAGTGGATTATATGTGTTTTTTTCTGTGACAGAGGAGGTGCTGATGATGGCGAGTCTGTTCTGTATATCTCTGTATATCGTATAGGAAATGTTTCATGTTTAACCCTTACATACTGTTCATTTCTTAAGCTTTCACAGTCTGGTCCAGGTCAAATTTGCCCGGACCAAGAATTTCCTCACAGTAAGTGTTTATACCAAATAAATAGACTGTCCTACATGAATAAATATATGTAATATATAAATATAATGTTTGAAAGAGCAGGAAGAGCATATTTTTGTAAGTTTTACAACACTCGTTTTTTGAGAAAAACATCTACTATCACAAGTATCATGTCCTGTTTTACAAAACAAATAAAAACATAAAAGCCAATATGATGATGATATTTATTGCATTTGAAAATTACATGAATATTCTGGAACTGTTGGAATTTATAATATAACCATTTTTATCCACTGCAGCCATTCTGCTTATTTCAGACTAGTCAATGCATGTAAAGCAGTGATAAATATTTTCAAATATTTTCATTTTTGTGTATTTTGTCAAAATTTATTTTCATCAAATTTCAGGATCAAAGAATTATTTAGTGTATGTTTACTACTGTTGAATGTCAAAACGGGTCAAAATTAACCCGAATAGTTTGTAAGGGTTAACTTTTCAGTGATCATACGTGTACAGGTCGTACGAGTGCAGATTGTACGTGTGCAGGTTTAGTGCAGCTTTTTATTTTACAGTCATTTCACTCATGTACGGTCACTTTATTTATGTCGCTATTGTTGTGGTGAAAAGACTGAAAAGTGTTTGTCTTTTGGACGCATGCGCACTCCACTTTATGTTGCAGTAACAGGGATACTGTGTTTACATGCCACAGTCCCGGTTACTATCAGAATATACCAGCTACAGTAACCCGGTTTCTAATAACCTGGATGCTGAAACCGGGGTACTGTGTATACATGCACCATGAAGAAACCGGGATACTCATGTTCATGTATACACACTCAGTGACTGACGTTTGACCAGAAAAGTTACGTAGTGCAGCTTTAACCTCACACACTCACAACTGCTAGCTCTTAAATTGGTCAAGTATATATTTATTATGTATTTGAATTTATTGTATCTAATCATTCATTAAAGAACAAAGCTGTGTTAAGTCGCCCTGTAGCGATGCGTCGATGATGTTGACGCATCAACTTCAAAATATCGTTGATGTCATATTTTGACATCGACTCATCACTATGCACACATGGGTCACCCAAACAAACAGACCAGCGGGAAGAAAAGATGATTCCATGATGATCCAAGAAATGTTCTGGACTTTGGCGTGTGTGTGTGAATGGTATGTGAACTGCAGGATCTGTTTCATTTGCATTTTCTACATGTAAATTTACTGGGCAATATGAGTGAATGAGCCTCCAGAATGTACTTTTGTGGTGTTTTTATGCACAAGGTTGAGGGTTCAATTCCCCATTCTTCTTCCCCTGAAGGAATGTGATCCACTTGAGATGCTGTTGCGGTGCCTCCTTTGAGTCTCTAAATTTAGTTTTTTTAAAAACAGTGTATTTACTGAAGTGTGGTTTTAAAAGCAGTCAATGGGAAACCTTTGGGGAGCTGTTACTGGAGTTTGAAGTCTGCAGCAATTAGACTGCTCCCTCTGAACAGTTTTTATTTCAAACAGAGAAAAAAACACACAATATATAAACTCGATATGTATCACATCTGTGTAAAAATGTTATGTTGTTAAAGGAGCATTGTGTAACTTTTCTGCTGGAGAGTCCATCAAATCTTTTCTCCATGGAGATATTATTGCTTTGTCTGGAATGTTTCACAGTATGGCATTAAACCTTTCTATCTTCATGGAGACCA